TCTTCCCAGTAACCTTATGAAGGAGGTACTGTTATTTCCATTAAGTAACTCATGTAAATCGCACAAGCCAATGAGATGCTAAGCCAGAATTCAAACCCTGGACCATCTGATTTTACTACCCACAATCATAACCACTGTATAACCGGGTTCCAGGAGGCCCTCAAGGAATGTGCAGGGCAGTGGAGAGATAGACACCACCCTCCAACCTACAAAAGAGTAAATGAGGGAGAGAAAAGGGAGAAATTTGGTGCAGATGAAACTAATGTCTTGCTAAGTTCCAAACTAGACCATTGACCCAACGACATATGTTCTGGATACGGAGTCCTGGTGCTTCTCAGGCCACTGGACAAGGGAGGGGTTGGGGAAAGACAGGAAACCTCTGTCTGGACTAAAGGCGCTTGGAACCATGCACACCCAGTTCAGGCAGCCCCACCAGTCAGGGCTCCTCCAGTTTCTGCCCAGGTTAAAGACAAGCAGAAGCAACTGAGCAGACATTGCCTTATCCCATTTCAGGAGTTCCAAGAGAGGTTTATAATTGAAAGTTCTAAGGTTTAGAACCTTGGATGAGTCCTTTCATTACTCAGTATTTCCACTTCATCATCTCTAAATGGTTCCTTCTATGTCTCACATGCTTTGTCCTGGCCTGTTTTTATGGTTTTCCCAAAGGGTATGAAGGGCATCCATGAAGTGTCTAGTAGAGTGATTTTACTTCTCTCAGCAGCTCTGCTGACTACAGGGAATCCTGAGATTATAAAACAACATCACTAAGTAACTAAAAAGGAAAATCACTAAGTTTGGATGCCCTCATATTAATAACTACTTTTCTCATTATAGAAGTAATAGAGGTTAATTACAGACATTTTAGAAAATACAGACTGTGAGGAAAGAGTTAACACAGCAGGTCTGGTTGCTTGCTCTTTACAGGTCTTCAAGGGACCCATGATTAACCCTCAGCAGCCCTTAGCGTGTTCTTTACGTTAGTGGCTGATGGGTTTGTTACATACACCTGGACCAATGGACCATACCATAAGTACTCCTCAGGTTGCTTTGCACAAACATCAGGGTCAACAATGTGCACCTAGCTTCATTGTTAGGGTTGAGCTCTTGATGCTATAGTTGGTTGCATATATAGCAGGATATACCTATACGACCAGCCCCCCATAAAAGCCTTGAACTCTGAGACAAATAGGCTTCTCCAGCAGACATTCTACACATGTCCTCAAAGTTAATGGTGAGGGAAAGAGTATTCCTATATGGCCTCAGATAAGGAGTATTTAGACCAGGAGAGACATTGGAAGTCTGTGTTGGATGTCTCTGGACCCCACATGTGCATATCTTTTTTCCTGCTACTTTGCTCTGTAACCTTTGCTATAATAAATCTCAGTGAGTATTTAACCTGCTATTGAATCCTGTGGGCCCTTCTGGTGAATCACTGAATAACACACAGATAAATATAAATATATAAATATATATAAAAATATTATGTCAAGGGGCGCCTGGGTGGCTCAGTCGTTAGGCGTCTGCCTTCGGCTCAGGTCATGATCCCAGGGTCCTGGGATCGAGCCCTGCATTGGGCTCCCTGCTCTGCAGGAAGCCTGCTTCTCCCTCTCCCACTCCCCCTGCTTGTGTTCCCTCTCTCGCTGTGTCTCTCTCTGTCAAATAAATAAAATCTTTAAAAAAAATATGTCAATATATATAAATTAACCAAAATCCTTATACCTGGAGATAACCATTTGGCTAACTTTAAAAACAAGGTTTTGACCAACCAAATCATCTTGCAGAAGTCCTTCTGAGTTGTGAAAAGGCAAACAAAACTGCTAATTAAATTGGTAAATTGGGGATGCCTGGGTGGCTCAGTCGGTTAAGTGTCTGCTTTCGGCTCAGGTCATGATCCTGGGGTCCAGGGATCAAGCTCTGCATCAGGTTCTCTGCTCAGCTGGGAGCTTGCTTCTCCCTCTCTCTCTGCTCCTCCTCCAGCTTGTGCTCTCTCTCTCTCTCTTGCTCACTCTGTCTCTGAAATAAATAAAATCCTTAAAAATTATTTAAAAAAATAATAAATTGGTAAATTGTATCATGGAGTGAAGATTAAATTTTATGGAAGTCCCATGTTTGGACTTAGAATAAGTGTACTGTTTTAAATGATTATCAAGATTTACTGAACTTAGCTTTTGTGACTTAATAATTGCTTCATCTATGACTTAGTCCTTAATTTGGAATCCAACTTGTAATCTTGATTGGGTTCCTATGGGAAGAGACAGGACACTTTACAAGAAATGGCTTTATAATATCGGCCAAGAACAGGTAGTGAAAAGCAGAGACTGCCTGTGCATGAGGGTCTGGGAGAACCAGGGGTGAGGCAGTGAATAAAACTAACTACCCTTCCAAGTACCCCTCATCTTGTAAGTCACCCTTCTTTGACAGTTTCCCTCTATGACCTTAATAATAATAATTACTACTAACATTTATTTAGTACTTATTGTGAGCCAATCACTATTCTAAGCACGTTTTCTCTTAATCTTCACAACGGCCTAGTCAGTAAGTGTTACTATTTCCTCCTTTATACAAATGAAGATACCAAGGCTAAGTATAATTAAGGAGCTAGTTTATGAAACTAGTAAATGAGATGGTACTGGGACTTGAACCTGAACTCAGAAGGTCAACTGCTATACTTCATGTCCCCTTATATTTGTGCAAACGAGATGTCACTGATATAAATGGGTTTTGCAGTTAGATTTTGCATTAGGGTTTTCCAGGGAAACAAAACTAACAAGACACACACAGATTTACTTTAAGGAATTGGCTCACACGATTGTGGGGGCTGACAAGTCTGGAATTCGCAGAGCAGGCTGGCAAGCTAGAAATTCAGGGAAGAATTGATGTTGCAGTCTTGTATTCAAAATCTGAAGGCTGGAAAGTCAGCCGGCTTTCTATTTTGCAGTCTTGAAGCAGAATTTTTTTTTTCTTCAGGAAACCTCAGTTTTTGCTCGTAAGGATAACCACCTGCATTATGGAAGGTAAAAAAGTCTAATGATTTAAATGTTAATCACACATACAATGTAACCATCACAGTTTTGGTTTTTCTCTTTTGAAGAAGAAAGGGAAGGAGGATCCCCAAATGTGATTTGCTCAAGACTAACCCCAAGACGAGCCAGGTCCCTCCCAAACGCCAGTCCCATGAGTTGATAATCCCCTTAGCCACAGCCATGCGAGTATGGCATTGGCCAGAAGAGGGCACTGCCTTCTACTTGTGTAACCATCTGCAAGGGATGGAAAAAATGTTGACACTACTTTCAAATAATTATTATTTTTTACAGCCCCTGATGTAGCTTACTTAGCACAGTCTTTGGTAGAATGAATGCCTGTGAGCTTTTAGTTGTACTGTGAGACCAAAGCACCTCATTGACAGTACTCACACTTTATGTTCAATAATGCAGGAAGACATGGAAGGATTGTGTCCTTTGGCTTTCCTGGTGCATTATAACTGGTCCAGTCAGGCAGAACCAAACCAGCTTTTCCCAGAGTAGGCCAACTCAGGCTGATGCAGGGGGAAGGAAGAATCTGGGGATTTGGTGCCTGAGAGAAAGAAGGAGGAGGACCCCTGTGGCTCTAGGCCGATGAAGAATCTTCTAGCAAGGTACAGAGGATGGGTTTGGGAAGCTACTTCCTGTGTCTGGGTTTGAGAGAATAATACCACAAACCCCTTTGGTGATACAACTCTGTCCAGCTGAGCAGTTAATCTAATCTCTGGATTCTTAATTGGGAATGGAAATCCACATAAGTATAGTTATTCTTTAATTCTCATTAATAATGAAAAATCTCCCTTCCCTGCTTCCATTTTAATGACAGCTTCCATTTGTGCAGCATGAAATTTTGCAGAGGGCTTTTTCATCCCACAGCAAATGCTAGAGCAGGTACTAATTATTTCCTATTTACAGTTGAGGAAACACAGAGGGTAAGTGCTTTGTTCTGGCTCCCCTGTCGTCTAAGCCTGGGAGGAGACCAGGAACCTGGGGCCTGATCTTAGCTGTGTGCTTTGTCCCCTATCAAAAATACATTCCGAACTCTCATTTACTGCTACTTTCAGGGTCCATTATAGCAGAATGCCCGCAAACACCGAGCTAGTGATTCCACTTGCAGGAATGTGTGCAACTGAAATGCATGCACACAAGCACCAATAGATAGGTGCAAAACTATTCATAACAGCATAGTTTGAAATTGCCAAAACAAAAACAGCCCCAAATCCCATCAACATAGAATGGATAAAAAACTGTGGTGTATTTCTGTCATGGAATACTATATAGTAATGAGAATAAGTAATAAGTAATAGTAATAAGAACAAGATCTACACAAAATGGGAATAAACTTCACAAGTATATATAAAGGTCAAAACCAGGCAAAAATATAAAGTGTTGAAAGTCAGGTTTGTGGTTATACCTCAAAGGACTAGTTACTGGGGGGTGGGGGGACAGGGGTCCTCTAACATTTTACTTTTTGACCTATGTCGTGGTTACCAGGGTAACACAGGTATGTTCACTTTGCACAAATTCACCAAGCTGTGCATTTACAGTGCATGCACTTTTCTGTATCTGTTACACTTCAAGAAAAACAATTTTAAAATCCAGATTTGTCTAAATAAATCACTTTTCCATGAGCAAACTTTAGTACTGCCCAAATTTAGCTGTATCCCTGATTACAGCAGATTGTTTGTTGCTCTGCTCTAACAGTGACCACCACATCACCATTCCCCATAGGGTTTCTGAAGCCCTGCGAGAGCAGGTGCACAGCTGCCTTGGCATTTTGTGCATGCAAGAATGCATTTCAGGAGGGCTGCCACCTAGGAAGCTCATCCCCTGCCTCCAAGACTACGAACATGTGTTCTTTCTGCATGTCCAATAAATAAGAAAGAAGGAAACATCCAAGCAGGATAAGCCAAACACAGAAAACATCCCATCCAAATGGAAAAGCACCCTTGTCTATCTCTTTTCTTTTTTTAATTGTATTTTTTTATGGAATGCTTCACAAATTTGCATGTCATCCTTGGGCAAGGGCCATGCTAATCTTCTCTGTATCAGTCCAATTTTTTTTAGTATATGTGCTGCCAAAACAAGCCTGCCTGTCCCCCCTCCCCCCCCTTTTTTTTTTGAGATTTATTTATTTGACAGAGAGAGAGAGCACAAGCAGGGGGAGCAGCAGAGCAGAGGGAGAAGCAGGCTCCGTGCTGAGCAGGGAGACTGACGCAGGGGCTTGATCCCAGGACCCTGGCATCATGACCTGAGCCAAAGGCGGTTGCCCAACCGACTGAGCCACCCAGGCGCCCTGCCTGTCCCATTTCTTTTTTTTAACACTGGCACTATTTTGCAGGAAAAACAAGAAACCTAACCCCTATATCCCAGAGGTGCAGATGGCTCCTCTAAACAAGAAGACATGGGGCAGCAAACCAGCGCTGCTCTAAATTCCATGGCAGGCCCTGGTGGAGTCATAAATGGAACCAGATTTCCTGTTTCCCAGGGCACTGTCTGCTTCTCATTAGCCCTTACTGCTTCTTGCAGGGCATGGTGCTAGAAAATCTTAAAGGACAAAAGTACAACAACATATTAGCCTGCTTAAGATTTTCTCTCTTCCTCTGTCCCAACCCCCACCACACTCTCTTTCTCTCTCTCTCTAAAATAAATAAATAAACAAATAAATTTTTAAAAATAAAAAAGCAATTTAAAAAACCAAGACTACGGGGATATGGTATGGAGGAGGCATATGTGATGGGGGTGGTCAGCATGGCCAGAGGTGTCTGTGACTCAGGCCTCAGGGCAGGGAAGTAGACTCTCTGAAAGTTGGGGGAGAGGCTCCAAGCTCCTGATGATGCAGAACAGTTCCTTTTTTTTTTTTTTTACTGTTCTCCCTCTTTGGGGCTATGTTCTCTTGGTTCTCGTTGGGTTACTTCCAACCCTAGGCAGCCAGAGGAGACAGGCCCCTCCCTAGGAAGAGCCAGGGAGGATGACTTGAGCCTACTTGGCTCTAGGCCTTAGAAAGAAACCTCCTCTTTACCTTGGTGCCCATTTCCTTGGGGTACTTTTCCTGGGCCTTTGTATCAGGGCAAAGGATCTCCAGAGGCTGAGGAAAAGGGGCCACAGCACCTGGCAACTTTTAATCCAGCCTACTATTGCTCTCCACCCAGACTCCACCTTAGAATTGCCCGGGGAGCTTTGAAAAAATATAAGCCTCAAATATAGATATATACATTAAAATAGAGAATAAATGTTTTGTTATGTTAGCAAATGACTGATGTTGGATAAAACAGAAATTTTCATCCATTTTGGAAGGAGTGTGAATCGGTTAAGAGCCTTTAGAAAAGCAGTTAGACAATATTAAGAGTCTAAAATACTTTCGTATTATTTTGTCCAGTAATAAAACTTCTGGAAATTTCTCCTGGTGAAAAGCAAGATGCCTCAAATAAGGAAAATTTATGTGAAGAATTCTCTCATTATGTCTCCTTTTGCAATAGCTAAAAATCAGAAACAAACTAAATGTTCAACAAATGGCAGGTGAATGGTTAAATAGGTGTACTCCGTGGAACATTTTGCAACAATTAAAATTGTAATGAAAATTTGTAATAAGTTAAAGTGTACTAATGATGAACTTGTAACATTTCTTTGGACAAAAGTACTTTTGTACTTAAACAAAAGTGCATTCCAGAAGAAAGAATAAACACATTCAGGCCTCATCCCAGTCTAATTAAATCAGAAGCTCAAGGGGTGGGGACTGCACATGAAAATGTGTTTGTTTCCCCAGATGATTCTAATTGAAGACAAGGTTGAGAGAGCACCTCTTGGCCTTGGGTCCAAATGAGACTTCCCAGGTCAGGTGTGGCCCAGTCCAGCTCATCTGGATGGTACCTAAATGGCTTGTGTTCTCCTGGCCTTGTCCCAGACTAGAGACACTAGTGGGCCGAGTAGAAACCCCAGTAGGAGGCTAATCATACATTTGAGATCATGGCTAAATAGCCCTACATCTTACCATAATCAGCAGCAGGTAGACTCATTAAGAAGTAGATGGTTAAAATAATCTGAGTAAGAGGCAAGCAAGGGCTTGAACTGGGTCAGGACCGCAGTGGGAGGCATAACAGAGGTGAACTATACACAGCTGGGCACCTGAGCAAATATGACAGGCTCAAGAGTGGAAACCAAATCCCAGAGTGTATGTGGCCTGTCAAGGAGGGGCTCCAGCCCTCCAGGGCCCCTGGTTGCAGGCCTGCTGCTGTCAACCTCTACAGCCTTGCTTGCAGCAATAAAAGCTTAGAAGGCTTGCCGCTAGGAGATTCTGTGTCTACCAGGCTCTGTAGAAGAAGGTGCTACAGCCGATTTGCTGTTGGACCAAAATAAACAACAGAAAATCAAATGGGTGAGAGAAGCTCAGGAAAAGCAGGCAGCAACAGGGGTGTATCAGGAGAATATAATGATCCCTTCGTGGCCCAACATTCTGAGAACCTCAGGGGAAGAGTAACATAGTGATGTGGCATGATTAGTGGGGCACCAAAGAGCCCCCTGTTCATAAATGTCCTCATCTGGCTCTCTCCGGTGTCTGTAATTCCACTGTGAGGTTAATTCCGCTTGGGTTATTAAGCATTGCCCATTCATTGTTGCCCTCTTCTAAAACACAGACTCCCGAAAGGAATAACATTTTGATTCAACAACAATTCAGTGGAATTAGTTCATGATTTACTCAGCCAATCCGATACCTACTCTGTGCTTGGAACTGCAGTAGGAATTGGGATACTAGCGAGGCATGATCTCATTAGAGTGACTAAGAAGACTCAGGTCAACTCAGAAGTATCTACTGAACACGTCCTGTCACGTGACAAGGAGCTGGCACTGAGATGGGAGGAAAACAGAAAAATACACAAACTTGTCACCTCCCTCAAGGAACCCCTTAGCCTTGCTGAGGGTGGGGGAATCCAAGCACACAAAAGGCAGAACAAGCAACTGCTTATTAGTCCACTGATATAATCAAGGGCCAACGTGAAGAGTGGAGCTAAGAGCCTTCGTGTCAAAGAGTCTTTTCAGAAGCTTTCAGGACTGAACCACACTACCCCTTTTCATTAGGGAGCCTAGAAAAGAAGCTATTATAACTCCACTGTTTTCTAAATATTAACATGGGTGTGACTTCCTGATTCTGAGACCTCACCTTAGTTTCTACCCTACACCCTATAGATCTGGCTAGGCTGGGCACTACTGAAAGGGAGTTATTCATTAAGCACCGACGGGGTGCATAGGGACCCACCCACCTTCTCTGCCTGTGCCCCCCACTCTGGCCATTTGCCACATCTTGGTGGTGGGCTGAGTGGTTTCACATGTACTAAACGCCCACAAGATACATGGTTTCTGTTTATCATAATCATGCTCACAAGGTACCCTTGTGAGAAAAGCCTCACCAGCTTCTGGCTCCCAATGTCACACGGGAGGATTGTGACAGACACACAAGTGGGGTAAGAAAGCAAGACTTAGAAACAGAAGAACAGGGGCGCCTGGGTAGCTCAGTCAGTTAAGCATCCAACTCTTGATTTTGACTCAGGGTTGTGAGATCGAGCACCGTGATGGGCTCCATGCTGGCCATGGAGCCTGTTTAAGATTCTCTCTCTCT